AAATCACAAACACACCCATCTCAGGGAGAAGGAAATAAAATCTACTAGGCAATTATTTACAAAGTAAAGTAAATAAAAGGTGCCTCAAACACAGGAGGAGAAATACAAAAGTGAGTTCACTATTCAATTTAGATTTTGGAAGATGTTAGCCAAAGAAAAATACACATAGAAATTTGATTTAATTTGAAACAACTGTGCCAAAAAAGTAGCCCAGAGAGGGATCTTGGCTCAGTGTATTATAATTTGGATTATACTTTTGGAAATTTAGTTCAAATCTTTGAAGCTAAGGCAGTCTAACAGTAAAATAAGAATAAAAGAGCCAGACCAACCCTCAATGTGGTTCCACAGAATTATGTATACAGTTTTGACTTTAATAAAACACTTATAAATGCAAACAGCTATGTATTCATTATATTTATATATTGTTGCAATTATGTTTGGTCTCAGAAATATCACTGTAATAAAAATTTTCAGAACCCACTGTAAACTGGCTTTGAAAATTTCACTGATAAACTGCCTTCCTTTGTTGATGTGAGTTTTACTAAAAGCCACTATCTTGCATTGGCCCATCAACCAACACCCTCTCACTTGCTTCCTTTCCCTGTAAGGAAGGCATCTTGAAAACAAGACCGTGTTGCTCCCTATTTGTAATGTCTTCGCCTCTTTGTCCTTCTCAAGAGAAGGTGAAGTGATAAAAGAGGTCAACACTTCCGAATGGGCAAACCCAATGGCACTTCAACTCCTTCACAGTCACGTATGCATTCGTCTTCAGTGTCCCTCTGAGGATGGGGCCGTCTCAGCCGAGCCTGGATAGCAGTGACTGACAACCGCTGGGCTTCAGACTCTACCAAGGACACCACAGCCCTGGGCTTGCAGACACAAAGTGTCCTTTTCCTGCTAAGTAGAGCACAGACTTGTTTTTAATGTTCACCTTTAAATGACAGTCGGCAGATTCATTTTCTACAAAACCCCCAAGAGCTAAAGCTAAACCAGGAGGACTTTTTCACGTCCTTACCAAGTGCCGGGCTGCGTGAAGAACCTCACGTACTCTGCTATGGATTGACGTATCCCCCCCAAAATATGTATTATAAATCTTAACCCCAGGCAACACGATAGCTGCAAGAGTGGGCTCAAACACACAAGGTCTGTGAGGAGTGTCTGGTCACTAGACATCTCCACGGCCTCTGTGGCACCTACCAATAAGACCCTATGCTGACGGAGCCCGGTGGAACTGTGGTTACTCACTGAGCTGCTAGCCACAAGGCCAGCAGTTAGCTTTCTACTCCCATAGAAGGTTACAGTATCAGAAACCCACAGGGGCACTTGTGCCTTGTCCTATAGGGGCTGTGGGTCGGAACTGACTTGGTGGCAGCGAGTTTTAGAGTGTTTCGAGTGTCATCACCATGAAGAATTAGGTCATTGCGATCCACACATCATTTTCATCAGCTGGTTTTCAAAACAGGTCACCAGGCCTTTTTTCTTAGTCTGTTTTCGTCTGGAAGTTCTGCTAAAACCTGTTCAGCATTTCAGCAAACATATAAGTCTATTCTCACAGAGAAGTGTCTGGCAATCAGACAAGGTTCCTATACAAAAGGCGAAATTTTACCACGGAACCATCAATGTCCCCTTTTAAGTAGAAAAAACGGGTAAAATATTAAAGCCAGAACCCAACAGTTGAGGAAGAATTTGCCATCAAAATAAAAACATGCCAATCAATCACAAAGAAGACCGAGAAAGAATCAATGTGTCTGATTTGGTGTTGGCCGAGAATATGAAATATACCATGGACTTCCAGAAGAACAAACAAATCTGTCTTAGAAGAAGTACAGGCAAAATGTTCCTTAGAAGCAAGGCTAGCAAGACTTCACCTCACCTATGTTAGAAATGTCATCAGATGTACACTGGTACGGATAGGAACTGGAAACACAGGGAATCCAGGGCAGATGATCCCTTCAGGACCAGTGGTTTGAGTGGCGATACTGGGAGAGTAGAGGGAAGGTGGGTTGGAAAAGGGGAACCGATTACAAGGATCTACATGTGACCTCCTCCCCTGGGGGATGGACAACAGAAAAGTGGGTGAAGGGAGACATCGGACAGGGCAAGATATGACAAAATAGTAATTTATAAATTATCAAGGGCTCATGAGGGAGGGGGAAAAATGAGGAACTGATGCCAGGGACTTAAGTGGAGAGCAAATGTCTTGAGAACGATGAGGGCAATGAATGTACAAATGCGCTTTACACAATTGATGTGTGTATGGATTGTGATAAGAGTTGCATGCGCCCCTAATAAAATGATTTTTTTTTTTAAAAAGGAAAGAAAGAAAGGTCATCAGAAGGACCAATTCCTGGACATCATGTTTGTTGCAGTAGCAGGTCAGTGAAACAGAAGAAGGCCTTCAGTGAGATGGACTGTGAATTGACAAAGTGGCTACAACACTGGGCTCAAACAGTGTTTGATGCACGACTGGGCAGTGTTTCAACAAGCAATCACAACAGGTGTTCAATGTCCATTTCAAGTACATTGTGGAGTCAAGCCCTTCACACAATTTATATCATTTACTATGCCTTAAGGACCCCTGGTTTCACCGTGGGCATGCATGGGTGGAACCCACAGGTCGCTCTGTATGATGTGGTGGTCTGTCCCAGAAAGACTAAAGCATCACAAACCCAAAGGGGCAGTTGTACTCTGTTGCTATGAGTTGGAAGCAACTCAATGGCAATGGATTTGATTTGATTTCAGAGGCATTATGCTTTATTTAGGAATCCCCCTAAAAAGTTTAAGATAAAATTATTTCCACATACATAGAATTTCACCATATGACAAAATCTCAGGCAAATCTTATGTAGGAAAGACTGCAACATTCTTACAAGCTAAGGAAAGAAGTAGGTTGGGAGGAAGAGGACTGAAGGCATTAATAAGAAATTAGATGCCATAAAAAATTGAAAGATTTAGGAAAACTTATTCAAACTATGTGATACACATGTAACAGCAAGATTAACATCCATAGTACATAAAGAGCTCTTCTAAAAGATGAGGTAAACTTGGAACTTCTAATCGTTAGCCTGCCTGAGAATAAAACCAACACAGGAAGGCAGAACTTAAAAAGGGGCCACCAGGGTCGTGATGCCTGCACTTTGAATCTTGGAGTTGGCATTGCCTAAAGAGACCTGCTGCTCCCTATGTATTTACATGCGATACACTATGTTTGCTTCTGTTGATACTGACTTGAACTGGGTTCTTTCATTTTTACAGAAAGAATCCTAATTAACACAGCAGATAATCATGCATATCTGTTATTGTAGAAGTCCCAGTGTAATGCAAATGGTTAAGCACCTGGCTGCCAAAGGCCTTTGACTTTGCGTCCACCCAGAGATGCCTGAGAAGAAAGGCCTGGGGGTGCACTTAGAGATACATCCGCCAGTGGAGACTCTGGATCATGACACTGGTCTCATCGGAGTCAAGCTGAGAGCAAGTGGCTGTTCATCAGCTGCTCAAGTTTGTATACTTTTCAAATCACCCCATTTACTTTGAAGACATTATCCTATAGCCAGGCTTGTGCATTGCACATCTATTAAGGGATTCACTGAGATTCGACTTACAATTGTTCAATTTTAGGACAAACAAAATGTTAAGGGAATCGTTATATTTAAATTATATAACAGTACTAGGAAATATTTATACAACAGCGCTTTAAGTCAGAAAAAATGGGAAGTATTACAGAGTTCTGAGCAGGAAAGATCATCTGATTTATATATGTTTTTAAATCTCTTTACTGTATTGAAAGTTCATTGCGGTGGCATCGGGAAGGAGCAAGGGCAAAAATAGAGAGACCTTCTGGGAAGCTACTGCAGTAATCCAGGCAAGAGACTATATGGTGTAGCCAAAGATATACTTAGAGTGGTGGAAAGTGGTATGACTATGTGGACACGTGTACCTAAGGAATGGGGTGGTTCCAAGTGCTTACAGGTAGAGCTTAAGGCTTTGCAATACTCGCCCTAGAAGAGGCCAGAGATTAGGCAGAGGTGCAAAGGGCCTTGAGGGAGGCTTGCCTGTGGGGCAGGACTGAGAAGAGGATGTCCTGATTGAAGAAGTATACCCCGAGTTATTCTAGACCAGAAAAGAGGGACCTGTTACTTTCCTAATAAGCCTATAACCAGGAGAGTGTTCTGTCAGTTCTGTGTGGCCACTGCAAAGAATTATCACCCAGTGGAGGAGCGGAGGTGTGTTGGGAGGTTTCGGTTGGTGCTCACACTGGTAAAAAGGTTGGAGAGAAGACATAACCACCAGCCTTGGGTTGCTGATCTTGAGTTTTATTCCTTCCCCTCCTGAACTTAAGAGAGGTCAGATGTCCCCGGGGCCAGTTTTTCATTATTCAACAAAAAAGGAGAGAACTAAGATTTACACCCATATTTCATTGGATCCCAAAGCCCCTGCTGTGCCCACTGTCTCTGAATCTATTGACCAAGAAAACAATACATTTTAAATTTATTTTATAGGCTCCTGAAGGATATGGAATGAATATGTTCTATAAATACAAAGCCTAAGTAATTGTACAATTTCCTAAAATTAAAAAAATATTAATAAAAGAAAAAACTGAGGGGGACTAAGTCAAACAAAGCACACCCTTAATTTCAACAACACTGCTTCTTTTGTTTGAGAAACAAAGAAAGAAAAGATAAACACGACCAGTAACTCTCTAATGTTTACGTTAAAACAACAGATTACTTTTGCCGCATCACCTAGTTCAGGTAATACAGACAGACCAGGCACCTCCACATAAAGGGCACCACATATAGATGTTCAGCCACACCACCAGACTGATGTCATCCAAGGCAGGCATTTTTACCACCCTCAGTAAAAATGCCAGACATATGTTTTATGATTACAGGAAAGACAGAAAATATATTCTTAGCAAGTCATATTAACATTTTCTCTTTTTAGTATTTTGCTGGTCTACTTTGTAGGCCCAGCTTTCCTGCCCCTCAAATTGACTTTACCTGCATGAATTAACAGCTGCAAACACTTTACAGAGTTGTGGTAAGCTGCTTCGTGAATTGGCATCCATCCCCTGTTATCAGCAACATCAACACTATGTCCCTTTTTGAGCAGTTTCCTTAAGACTTTGACATTTCCTTCCCTGGAGGCAAGTCCAACGGCAGAGCATGTGTTGGAGTAAGCCTCTCTAAAATCCATTCTTCTGATCAGTCTAGAAGACAAGTCAGAAAGAAAATACTAGAGTCAGTAAGATAACACTTCCCTCCTGGAGATGGGCAGATCACATTTGGCATTACTCTCCAGCATCTCTCACATGACTGCCAAGCAAAAGCCCACAGTGGGGCAGCTTACCTGCCATGCCACAGCTCCTGCTGCTCTCGAGCCTAAGCCTGGAAGTCTCTCTCTCTCTCTCTGATGAATTAGTGTTCACTATGATTTTTAAATAAAGCTATCAAGCAACTTTTAAGTGTTCTCTCTTTCCTCCTATGGAAAGGCTAAGGAATTCCCTCTGGAAAGTTTCTTCTCCCGTTCATGTCCCATCAAAGTACAACTCACTGGAGCTCCTGCATAGAGTAAATAACCCATAATGAACACTCCACGATGTTGTGATGGCCATTTAATGACTAACAATGTGTAGCCGCAAGAATCTGTTTATAGCTTTAGGGGGTCAGCTGTTAACCACAAGGTAAGCAGTTCAAACCTACCACTCCATGGGAGAAAGACGAGGCTGTCTGCTCCTATAAAGATTTAGTCTTCAGAACCCAAACGGACAGTTCTAATCTATTCTATGAGGTCACTCTGGGTCAGAATCGACTTGATGGCAGTGAGTTTGAGAGTTTATAGGTGAGCAGTTTGAACTCACCAGTAGATCCAGATGAACTCGTCAAGGATTTCATTTTACTCGGATCCACAGTTAACAGTCATGGAGCAACAGGTAAGAAATCGAACAACGTGCTAAAGAAGAAAGATGCCACTTTGAGGATTAAAGGACACCTGACCTAAACCATGGTATTTTCAATCGCTTCATAATGCATGTGAAAACTAGACAATGATTAAGGAAAAATTGATGTATTTGAATTGTGGTGTTGGTGAAGAATATTTAGCATACTATGGACTGTGAAAAGAACAAGCAAATCTGTCTTGGAAGATATACAATGAAAATATTCCTCAGAATTAAGGATGGCAAGACTGTCTCACATACTTTGGAGGTGTTATCAGGGGAGATCAGTCCCTAGAGAACAATGTCATGCTTGGTAGAGTAGAGGGCCAGTGAAAAATGAGAAGACCCTTGTAACAGAGCTTAAATTCTAAACACCCCAGTTTGGAAAAGGTTATGGATCACCCTGACAGCCCAAATCCACGAGTAGGGTCCTCAACTAGATTAAACCTACACTGAATTCTTTCTGATCTTTAACCAGGGTGTGGACATCCTTGCCCTCAGTCAAAAGGCACTGGAAAACATTACCTCCACCCAGGAAGGGGCAGTCTCTCTTAGGGGCTTGCTTGGGTATGTCCTTGATAGAGGTCAAGGTACTGGGGACAGTACAGGGGGGTCCCATAGTCATGAGTCATAACTATCAATTGTGCCCTGACTGCCGTGGGCAGAGGGCCCTGGATGAATTTTGTAAACTCCACTAACGAAGTACATGTCCCAATCATGGTCCTGTTCCCAATTCTGTTGTCCCACCTATAACTGTGATGCACCAATCTGCCACCAATCACAAATTTGTGACAAGTGTCCTTTGTTCCATGACTTATTCATCCTCAGACGCCATTTTAAACGCGTGTTGGTGGCCTCCCTCATCCAGATGATGTGTCTGAGTCTGTGTTGTTGTCTTCGCGTCTCTTGTCTCCTTAGAGGACATTTGAGATGGGGGTCTCTTTTGTACCTGAAAACACCCTCAGCAAAATGAATTGACCCAGTGATTGCAACCATGGGCTCAAACATAACAGCTGTGAGGATGGCCCAGGCCCAGGCCCAGGCCAGGTTTGTCACTTATGTATAGGGTTGTTACTGGATGGCACCTAACAATCCTCAGAGTGACATCTTTGCCTTGTAACCCTTGAAAGAAGTCTTTTTACACTAGATTTAGCCAGTGCAATATTTTGTTTGATTTCTTGACTGCTGCCTCCATGGGAGTTAAATGTGGATCCAAGTAAAATGAAATCCTTAGTAACTTCAAAATTTTCTTCATTATTCATGATGATGTGTATTTTTCCAGTGAGGAATTTTGTTTCCTCAGTAGTTTCTCAAGTAACCTAAAGTACAGGCTGTAGTCTTGGATCTTCACAGTAGGAGTTTCAAGAACTCTTTGAGTCCATTTCAGTTCACTAGTATAAGGTGACCAGATGTCCAGCGTGGGACAGTCCGATTTTTGGCGTTTTAAAAGTCCCAATTTTTGGAAAGAATGCACGACAAGCTAGGGAACAGTCTATTTGGTCCATATGGACCAAATTTTTAATCAAGACCACCACCCATCAATGGTGTCCCGCTTTAAATCTGGTCACCTTACACTAGTACCTACAATATTTATCTTTATGTGTTCCACTGCATTTTCAATGACTTCCAATTTTCCTAGATCCATGCTACATTCCAATTATTAATGAATGTTTGCAGCTGTTTCTTCTCATTTTGAGTTGTGACTAAAGATTCCAAGGGCTTTCCCATCCCCAGGTCATTAAGGTTAATTCTACTTTGAGAAGGCAGCTCTTTCCAAGTCACATTTTGAGTACCTTCCAACAGGATGCACTCAACTCCCAGCACTGTATCAGACAATGCTGTCTTTCGCTTTTGTTGTGTGCTTTCTCTAAATTTTCTGCATGAATATTATCCCAGGCATGTAATAACTGATAGTAGTAAAACAGACACCTGGAGAAGTCAAGCCATCTGTTTGTTCTTAAACTGTTTTCCTTTGTAACAGAATTTGCTGCTGATTTTCAGAACAAGAAAAATTTCTGAAAAATCTTTTAAAGCTGTGTGTTATAGCAGTATCCTCTTCAGACCAAAAACTGAAATGTTAGAAATCCTCAAAAAGGTATGATGATTTTGTAAGGCACACACCAGCAGATTTTAACAATTTGTTGGTGTCCTTGATTGCTTGAGTAAACTTGGAAAGCTAGTTTCTCCTTTAAAAACAAGAAAAAAAGAATCATGAGGGTGGGAGGGTTAGGGAGGGGAAAAACTGAGCTGATTCCAAAGGCTGAAGTAGAAAGAAAATGTTTTGAAAATTGATGATGGCAGCATATGTGCAAATGTGCTTGACACAATGGATGGATGGATTGTGGTAAGAACTGTACGAGCCCCTAATAAAAAAAATTTTTTAAGCTCCTGGAAAGTGGAATTAAAGTGAACGTCAATACTTAATAAATAAAAGATGTACATACCTCAAGTTTTCTATACAATTTCAGGAAGCTTCCAAAGTCCTTCCATGAGTCTCAGGAACCTTTTCTCTGCCTTTGCTTTGTGGGTGAGCACCTGAGAATGCTAAATATAAATAAGGTCGTTTCGTAGGAAAAATTTAAAATATAAACACTTTATACTGAAATCATAGGTAACTCTAATGGAAGTGAACTGTCTCCTCTAGTCAACATTTTTTGTGGTGTTTTTTTTCCAAGGCAAAAAGAAAAAATTCTGTACACAAATATATTGCGCTCCTCTGGCAACTGTTCTGTGGGCAGAAATCTAACTTTCAAAGCAGAACAAAACGTCTACGTGCCAACTTCACGAACTTACATCGCTTCTCCCGATCAGGGCGCCGCAGTCACCACTTCAGCCTTTCTCCTGTTATTCCCGCCCCCGTTAGGAAAAAGCAGAGTTCAGCCATCTAGCGCAGAAAAACCATTGTGGGTAATGTAGTTTTCTGCACAGGTGAACCAGAATAGTTTCTTCGCTTGAGTTGATTTATGGAGCTTGCAGGTGGACTCATTGATTAAGAGACAGATAAAGGTCAATTTCTCTTAAATTTTAAGTAAGGAAACAAAACAGTATTGACTACGACAGAGTATGAAAACGTTCCTCGTACTGCAAGTCCCAGCGACCTTTGCGGCCCGGCACAATGCAGCCATTGCGCCTGCGCCCCGCGCAGCCAGTAGCTTGCTTCAGGGAGACCGCTGTCAGGGACTGCGCGACGAAGACCACAGCTTGACGGCCCCCTTAGCAGAGAAGCTAAGAAAAGCATGTGGGTTTTTGGTTACGGGTCCCTGATATGGAAGGTGGACTTCCCCTATCAGGACAAACTGGTCGGGTACATCACAGGCTACAGCCGACGCTTCTGGCAGGGGAGCACGGACCACCGCGGGGTCCCCGGCAAGGTGAGACTCCAGCCAGCCCCACGCCCACTGCCCCCCCCCCCACCGGGGCCCCGCTTCCCAACTCCCACGCCGTAGCAGGACCCACTGCCACGTGTCGAAGGGCGGCGCGCACAGGGAGTGGGGGTGTTAAGCTGTTACGTTCGGGCACCCTCCTCGGCCACCAGTGCCTTCGCCTCTCCCAAGCCTGGGGCACTCCCCAGCCGCTGGAGACCCTGGTCAGAGGGGGATGGACTCGCCCGGCCACGGGTTCCCACGTTCGCACCAGGCTGGCATGCTGGGCGGGCGGCCCATTAGTGGCAACTTTTTGTACCCAGAAAAAGGAAAAAAAAAAAAGCGAAACTTCGTGTCACCATGGGGGTTTACATACTAAAATCAGTTTGCAAATTCAGCTTTTTAGCAATTAAATGTGGTTGGTGGCTTTTCTGCAGTTTGCTTTGGATCTGCACTCTGGTTTGAGTTCAGGGATTTCGTTAACCCTTTCAAAGGGTTTTAATTTTTTGACACCCTAAGGTCACAAAGGACCTCACTTCCAAAATTATCTCTAGTTACCAAAGGGGTTTACTTGATCATTTAGGTTGCCAGATATTAACAAATATATAAAAGAAGTTCCAAACCAGTAGACCCAGCATTATTGTAATGTTACTTTCTTGGTGTCTGTCTTTAAATTGGTATGAAATTTGTCATTTGACCTATTTTTCAGCCAACTATCCAAGATACTCATTTTAGTACACGTATACAAAGAATGTAACACCTCAGTGCTTATTCAAGGCAGCCTGTGTTGTTGGTTGGGAACTAACTAACTTTAAATCCCTTAAGAACTCCGAAGTCTGGGATATCTAATCATTTAACAGGAAACTTGTTTTAGTTAATTGTTCTCTGAAACATTCTGTTAAGACTTACATAGGCTTTATTATTTTATTACTGGATTTTTAAAGTAAAGGAGCCCTTATGGCACATGGGCTGGCTAAGCACTGGATTGCTAACCAGAAGGTGGGCAGTTCGAACCATTAGCCAGTGAAGGATAAAGCTGAGGCTGTCTGTCCCGGTGAAGATTTACAGTCATGGAAACCTCAGGGCCATTTCACTGTGTCTAGCAGAGTTAGCATGACTTGATGACAGTGGGCTTGGGTTTAGTTGTAAGGTAAATGAATAATGAGCCAAACATATCATTGAAATGCCAAACCCCCCCCCCCAAAAAAAAACCCCAACAACGTGTTATTCCCAAATAAATACCTACAGTCATAGAAAGGAGAAGAGATAAAGGCTTCAGAGCAGTTTGCACCTACTCATAAAGGGGCATGGTTAAAGTCTTGAAAAGAACCTGGGTTCAAAAGCCAATCTCAACTAGAGTTGCTCAGTTAAGAGGTGGGCATTAAGGTATCCTGGCCTATTGAAATGATGGGCAGAATGACTTAACAAGGGAGAAGTGACTTGAGGCAGAAAGCTTAGATGGGGACACATAAAATTGCCATTCTGAAGAGAAAAGCTTTCACTCAAAGCTCTAATTTTAGTGACCAAGTATTTATATGCAGTAGCATATTTACCCCAGTCTCAACCAAATTGTGTTTTCCTTACTTAGCACATCAAGATAAGTACATTGAAGGGACATAAGAGGACAAGCAATTGTCAAGTCATACAAGAGTACATACCATAAAAGGAGAAAAGAGCCATAGAAGCTAATGTCTATTTTTACTTAAACTTAAAATTCCATCATGGGAAATTTAAGTATTAAACTTTGTCTAAGTATGCTGATCTCTTTCAAAGTGCTTATTCACTATAATAACTTATCAGCCTTATGTAAATGTTAAGTGTCTGAAAACAAGAACACAGAGACTAGAATTATTTTTTAGACTGTAGAAATATTAAGCAAATTATGGCAAATATGTGATATCAGACTTTTTCATAGCAAATTATGCTGTTCTTAAATTAGTCATGTATATCATGTATTTAACATAATAATAAAATATTATTAAACAAGAGTTTGGCCAATTTCCACATAGTGTTGTGTGATATTTGTGAGGAAAGATACTGAACCTACCTGCTTTATTAAATTAGTTTTGTTTTCAGATTCATTAATCTTCAATTTCTTCTTAAGTTTAATTGAGCATCACCTTTATACTATATATTTCATTGTCAGCTTCTCACAATAAGGTTTTTTTAAGTGAAAGCTTTGTCAAGCATCAAAGAGAGTATATTACAATTTCCAAAAATAGCAAACAGTTTAATATAACAGATAATCATGAACCATTTTTTAATCCCTAGTTCTTCCAGCTCTAGATCTGAAACATTAATCATTACTACAGGAAGACGCCCATCATGATTCAGATATGTTACAGCATCCTCTAACTCCATTTACTTTAAAGACTCATTTTTTTTAGTTTCAGTGCCCCCTCCCCCCCAAATGCAGTTAGTGTATTTACAATCTTACATTGTTTTCAATAACATTTTTCAGAGGTAAAGAGTTTAAATTTTAGAAAATATGTCCACATAAATTTATCAGTAGTCCTGGAAACCCATTTTATTTTCTGTTAAAATGACTCCCTTACAAGCCATCCTTATATCCTTGTATCTTTTCCAACTGTCACCACCCCTAGTCCAGGACTTCACTAACCCTCCTCCTTTCAACAGTTCCAAACCCCTAAGCAAACAGTACCATGCATGAGAGGTGCTACAGGGAAATGAAAAGCAGCAGCAGGCGTCCACCTGGGAACTCAGCCTAGGCTTTACAAAGGGAATGGCTCCATGATAACCCAGTCATCCAATAGGGGTAGGGCATTCCACAGTGGGCACCAGATACTTAAAAATAGGAACCGCTTGTAAGGTTTATCAATAATTCAGTACAACTTGAAGGAGAAATGGTAAGAAATGCAGTTTTGTTTAAGCCAAAAAAAATTTTTTTGGACTATCACAACCCAAAGAATTTGAAATCCTGGAGCAGCTGGTCCAGTTTCCATACCAGAAAATCATTCTGGGGCCATGGAAAGAACAGACTGAAAGAAAGCAAAGCTAGAGGCAGGCAGAGAAATCCCTCAAAGAGGCTACATGAGGACAGAGAAGAACCAGACACAAAAGAAACTCGGAAGATAAAACTGACAAGAATTGGTATCTGGGCTGGATGCAGGGAGGCAGGTGGTGGAAAGCAGAACTTGCCACTGGACCACTGACATTTCTTATGCAGTCTTCCTCCTTCCACTTTAACTTGAACATAATACACACACTCATCACACACATCCTCCTTTCACACTTAAGACACAGATTACCTGCTGCTCGGTCACCAAAACTACATTGCTACTGAGGCAGTTCCAACTCCTAGCAACCATCCGGGTCTGAGGAGAACTTCCCCACAGGGTTTCCTACCTGGACATTTTACTTTAGGACATAGGCTGCCACATCTTTCTCGCAGAGCAGCTGGTGAGTTTGACCCCCATTCATCAATCATGGGTCATGATGCCATTTTCAAAAGATTCATCTTCCTTTCTGGCCACCAGGATTCTTACTGTAGGGTTACTATGATTTGGGATGGAATCAGTGAGTTTTTGTTTTGTTCTGTTTGGGTAACTGACTGTGAAAGGAGCCCAGGTAGCACAATGGGTAAGCCTGTGGCTGTCAACCTAAAAATCAGCAATTCAAACCCATTGACCACTCCATGGAAAACACTCCTGTGAGCTGCTCCCAACATATTTCGGCCTAGGAAACACTGATAGACCTCTGTCACATAAGGTTGTTGTGAGTCAAAAATAAAGACACTTCACTATTGACTGAAATTGAAAGTAATGTGACAATACTTACATGATTATTACAACTCTCTCTTGCTTAACTTAGCACTAGCATCTGATGTGTTGGTGTTTTTAAATAGATTTAAAGAACCAGAAAATATTATTTATGTGATAATACCTGTGGATAACATTATCTTTCAATTCCACCTGTCCTTATACTTCTTACACTCATAGACAACCTCATTGTAGCATTATCTCAAATTAAAAGTCAGAACTCTAAATGTCCAACAACACAAGAATGTCTAAATTATAGTTCATCACTGGCAGGCTGTTATACAACCACTAAAATATGAAACTAATATAGGGATACATAGTGAAATGAGAAATCATAATCCAATATTCTGTGTGTTCCTTGACTATGAACCACCACACATATGGACAGAAATGACAATGATATAGCAACAAAGATAACCCACATAACTGAAATGATCCAAGCCTACTATGTCCCAGATCACTGACATAAAAGTGAGTAAAACTGGCTTAAAATTCAGCATTCTCACTGATTATGTTAAAACTTTTGGCACCAAGTAGGGATTCTAGAAAAAGCTTGCAACCGTTGACTTAAGTCACCTTTGTTGTTTCAATTAAAAAATATTCCAAGTCCCAACTTTCTCTTAAGATTTTGTTTTTAAACAGATTGTTTTGTCAGTCTTTAACATGAGAAAACAAAGTTTGCTCTGCCTTGGTAATCTCATTCCAATCTCAAATTGAAAGATATAAAGTCAGACTTATTTTTATGCTAGTTTTTTCTTTATTCTTTGAAAATATTTAAATAATAACCACATAACTGTTGGATGAGTTAGCAAACTAGAAAATCAAATTTTCTAGAATGTCAGGTGGTCTAACTGACCACATACAAGGAACTTTAAACAGGCCAGTTCTAACATTATCCCCAACAGGGCAATGTGATTTCACTCATGAATGTAAAAAGGAAAGCGCCTAGCCTATGGCACCCATTACCATTTATAGCAGTGGTTCTCCACCTATGGCTCGGACAGTCACAAAATTACAGTGATGAAGTAGCAACGAAAATAATTTTATGGTTGTATGAAAGGGCCGCGGCATTAGGAAGGTTAAGAACCACTTGATCTAGAGGAAAATGAGGGCATTTCTCTTGTTTCATATTCCTTGATAATGATGGTTTCTCAGGATATGGGCTCCAAACCAGTAATATCACTGCCAACACGGGGGGATTTGTTACAAATGCAAATTCAAGACCTCCAGATAATTTTTGTCCATGCTAAAGTTTGAGAACCACTTCCCTAAGGAAAGCATCCTGGAATGCTGTTTTATTCCCTAAGAAAACTATAGCAACTTTTAATTATCTACTGTTTCATTTTGCCTTTCTTTGCCTTAAATTATTGGTATATTCTTAATATGTCCGTTTTTAGTGAACATAGTATATCTGATACATACAAATTGATGGAAATCTTTTAGAAAGGCCATAATTATCTCCCATAAGGTAGATTCTCTTAATTCACTTTAAAGAAATGCTTACTAGAAGCAAATGTACATAAAATACTCCATGTCAACATTAACTAATGCTCAATTACTTAATGAACTTTAATTCAGAAAAAAAAATTTTTTTTTTCACTTTTTTTAAAACAGCCTGGAAGAGTTGTGACTCTTGTTGAAGATCCTGGGGTATGGTATGATCATTCTCTTTGTACAGTCTTTACATGTGTAAATGTTAAGAGCTTATTTCTCAGTCTGTGACCAGAGAGCTTTGTGAATATGCTTGACAAGCAATGAACCGCCCTAGGTCTACAATCTCTCTCTGAATTCGGTTTCATCCATTGTAGGAAATGAAGACAGTGGGAAAAGCTGCATTTGCGGGATACAGGGTCGAGGACAAAATAAAACCAAATGGCATGCAGGATTTTTTTTTATTTTTTTAGTGAGTTTATGTGCATTCATAGTACCCTCTGAGGATACTGGACCACGCTTGTGAAGCAAGATTAACATTAAGAATCAACTTGGAGTTTTTAAAGCATGCCTCGCTTTAGCTAGCAGATATTTTCAGGAGAGATCCCAGACAGGAATTCTTTCCTTCTTGCTCAATTTCATCACTAGTATCTGTGTGGTATACCTTTTAAATAGGTTCAGAGTACTAGAAAAAACGTTTTACTTGCCTATTAATCCTGTTTCTTAACTATTTTATTTTCTATCATTTTATTGCAATACAATTCAAATAATGAACGGCATAACTTGGAGAAAACCTTTGATATATAAAAGTCAGCATCTAGTAACAGCAGATGCATAACAGTTTCAATTAGGAAATGCTTTCATAATTTACACTAGAAAAAGCATCATTAAAATGGTTTTAAACTGGTAACTACAACTCCTAATTAAACGCTTAAGCAAATAATACTTGTTTCTATAGCATTTTCATTTAGTCCAGAAGATGTGTAAGGACCTAACATTTATTAAAACTTCCAAAAAATTAGAAAATAATCTATCATAAACTTTGAGTCCTCTTACAACATACAGTTTTAACAGGCAAAATCTCAAGTTCTTTGCAGCCAAAGTACATAGGTGCTTTTTGGTTTTGAGATTTTTTTGTTCGTGGGTTCTCTCCACAAAGAGCTGCCATTTCTTTTTCTGGATGAAATTTTTTTTTAAAATCATTTTATTAGGGGCTCATACAACTCTTATCACCATCCATACATACATCAATTGTATAAAGCACATTTGTACATTCATTGCCCTCATCATTCTCAAAACATTTCCTCTCCACTTAAGCCCCCAGGATTAGGTCCTCATTTTTCCCCTCCCTCCTCGCTGCCCCCTCCCTCATGAGCCCTTGATAATTTATAAATTATTAGTTTGTCATCTTTCCCTGTCCGACGTCTCCCTGCACCCAAGTTTCTGTTGTCCGTCCCCCAGGGAGGGGGTCACATATAGTTCCTTATAAGAGGTTTCCTCTTTCCAACCCACTCTTCCTCTACCCTCCCAGTATCGCCACTCACACCACTGGTCCTGAAGGGATCATCCGCCCCGGATTCCCTGTGTTTACAGTTCCTATCTGTACCAGTGTACATCCTCTGGTCCAGCCAGACTTGCAAGGTAGAATTCGGGTCATGATAGTGGGGGCAGGGAGGAAGCATTTAGGAACTAGAGGAAAGTTGTATTTTTCATTGTTGCTACATCACACCCTGACTGGCTCTTCTCCTCCCTGAGACCCCTCTGCGAGGGGATCTCCAGTGGTCTACAAATGGGCTTTGTGTCTCCACTCCGCACTCCCCCCATCATTCATTATGGTAAGATTTTTGTGTTCTGATGATGCCTTATACTTGGTCCCTTCGACACCTCATGATCGCATAGGCTGGTGTGCTTCTTCCATGTGGGCTTTGTTGCTTCTGAGCTTGATGGCCGCTTGATTACCTTCAAGCCTTTAAGACCCCAGACGCTATACTTTTTGATAGCCGAGCACCATCAGTTTTCTTCGCCACATTTGCTTATACACCCATTTGTCTTCAGTGATCCCTTCGACACCTTGTGATCACACAGGCTGATATGTTGTTCCATGTGGGCTTTGTTGCTTCTGAGCTAGATGGCCGCTTGTTTACCTTCAAGCTTTTAAGACCCCAGACGCTATATCTTTTGATAGCCGGGCACCATCAGCTTTCTTCACCACATTTGCTTATTCACCCGTTTTGTCTTCAGCAGTTGTGTTGGGAAGGTGAGCATCACAGAATGCCAATTTTAATAGAAGAAAGTATTCTTGCATTGAGGGAGTACTTGAGTGGAGGCCCAATGTCCCTCTGCTACCTTAATACTAAACCTATAAATATAGGCACATAGATCTATTTCCCTGGATGAAATAATTTTCAAAGGATATTTGAAAGTTTAGTCAGCTCACAAATGAATAAAATAAAATGAATATACTACAGCTTTAGGTAATTGATTGCTTTATTACAGCAATTTTAAAACAGCCCTTTAAAAAGATAAAGTGTCAAACAGAAAAAAGATAAGGTGTCAGCTCAAGCTGACAGAGCATGGGTGTCAATATTTTCCCAGATGGCACCCCATTACTCAAAGGGGTATCTGCTGAGGTAGGAGGGCCAAGGATGACTACTAGTATGCTCCATCAAGCAGCTTGGGGTCGGCTGCATTACCACAGAAGTGGAGTGGGGGTGGACAGGGCTCCACAAAGTTCATGGGAAACTTCTATTCCCTCTCCCACCAACTTTCTGAAGCACCACATAGGTGTGCATTTCAATGACCACATGAGAAGCTGAGTTTTCAATTCAGTCCCTCTGTTAAAAGACAAGCTCAATTAGAAAGTGTAAGCAAAGGTAAACTAGCCAAATATATTCTGACAAATTATTCAGAATTAAAGATTTAAAATGTTGATCATCTCCATCAGTATGTACCTCTTCAGTGCACTTTAAGTTCATCAAAGCTGCGCTTCTAAAAATATACAAGCTATCTTCCTAAAGCATACACATAGTTATTTTCATTAACCTTGTAAATTTTAAAGCATGTGTTCTTTTCATATTCAACAGGGTTGTGTATGGGGTGTTGCTTACAAATTGCCAATAGGAAAGGAAGAAGAGGTAAAAGCATACCTGGACTTCAGAGAAAAAGGAGGTTACAGGACTGAAACAGTCATTTTTTATCCAAAAGAGCCCGCAACAAAACCATTCAGCGTGTTGTTATATATCGGAACATGCGAGAACCCTAATTATCTTGGTCCTGCTCCTCTGGAAGACATTGCTGAACAAATTTTTAATGCAGTCGGCCCAAGCGGAAGAAACACGGAATATCTTTTTGAACTCGCAAATTCTATTAGGAACCTCGTGCCAGAAGATGTAGATGAGCATCTTTTCTCTTTGGAAAAATTGGTAAAGGAACGTTTGGAAGGAAAACAAAACCTCAATTGCATCTAAAGACTGAGTCACTGCTTTCCCAAACGAGCAGAGTTTCTCGTGTTCAGAGCATAGCTTCAATGGCAGTGTGATTCGAAACTGTGTGTACCTTAAGACCTTCTTTATCTTTCTGTCATATTTAAGATATCTAAATTTAAAGTTTCAGGTGTCCTGAAACACACTTGTAGTCAAAAGACTGGAATATTGCTAGAGAAAAACAAGTTTTAATAATCGGCATGATTAACTATATAGTGTTGCTCATGAGAATTGAGTTCTTTAAGAGACAGAAGGGCTGAGTTTGGATCTTGTTTTTGTTAGAGTAAAAATAACTATTGTCTCATATCATACTACTGTTTTGAAGTTACAGGGAATTAAGCCAAAAGTGTAGTTATTTCATTAATACACTCTGATACTCTATTTCTATAACCATGGCTTAAAAGATATCTTAAATAACGTGTGACTAGAAATGTATGGCAATATAAAATTTAATCTCGAATGTGAATTTCCTTGTTATCCACATTCATAATGAGTTTTTCAAGTTAAATCAAAAAATACTTTGGAATGTTTAGTATAAAACTATCCTTAGAATTATAATGTACACACATCTCCTTTTTAAATGAATTCATTTTAATTACCATTTGGAAAAACTCATTGAGCCTAAAAGTTATGTAAGTCACACCTACTAGTAGTGTAGTCTTTCATTCACTTTGTCCTAGGTACTGAACGATTTTTTTGTGTGTGATCATAAAGATCAATAGACACATAAATAAGAGAGTTGGGCTTCGAAACACATTTGCAATTATAATATTGAGAAAGAAATGGCATTATCTGATCATATGCTATATAGGATATTTTTATTTTCTCTAACTTAAATGTATCAACTGAATAATGTTTATATACTATTCAAGTAGAAAACAAATGACTAACGTGAAATTAGTCTTGATTCACATTAATTAGATTCTGATTCCTTTCTCAATGGAATATATAGTTTCTAAAATCTTTCAACATTAAGAGAATTTGTTCTGTGTCTAGAACTATCTCTTGGTCTATGTACAAGTTCTTCGGGAGCATAATTAACTCATCTTTGTGAGCCTGAGTGGCACATGTTGGCTACTAAACACAAGGTCAGCAGTTTGAAACCACTAGTCGCTCTGTGGGGACAAGACGACTTTTCTACTCACCTGGGGCAGTTCTACCCTGTCCTATAGGGTTACTGAGTCAGAATCAACTGGATGGTTTAGAAAATGTGTGTGTGTGTGTGTGTGTGTGTGTGTGTATATATCTATCTATATATATATATATATCGGTGTCAGATACTCAGTATTACCAAATATTTACCTAAGGTTGGTACAGTTAAGTGGCTCCAAGGTGACTGACTCATTAGTGATCTTACACACAACCAACCAAAACAGCCCAGTCCTGTGTGTTCCTCGCATTTGTTGTTATGTTTGAGCCCATTGTTGCAACCACTCTTATCAATCCAAGTCACCGAGAGTCTTCCTCTTCTTTGTTGTCCCTCTATTTCATCTAATATATATTCAGAATATCAAGAGTTCAAGATCTCCTCCAGATACATAATGTTTACAATCATGCCTATAATTTAAGAATCATTTTTGGTCTATTAAATATTTTTCAAGCATCTTCCAGGCAACATTAGATTACATTCCATTACATTTCTCTGTTCCACAAATACCTTTTTTAAAAAATTTAACTTAGGAGGATAAAGTGTTCTCTCAATGTATGAGTACATATCCCTACATCTTGAGTAGTTGTAAATATGAATGTAAACATCACACTTCTACCCATTTCATATCATTTTTAAATCAACCTAATATTCAATTTATGCCTATCTTTTTCAGTTAAAGTACTACATGTTCTATGAATGTATTCCACTTTTAACAATCTTCACACACTTCTAAAACCTTTAAATATAAGCAAATAGACTCAAGAATTAGTGGGATGATTTTTCAATTGTGGCAACAGAATTTTAACTTCTCCGCAGACAATTTTACTAAAAGGATTGTTCTAGATGGCAAATTTACAAAATGAAAATTTTACTGAATTTCATGTGGGTTCTTTTGCCCATTCCTAAGGCTGATGTCCTTTCTAAAATATTATCATCTAGGTTGTTTTACTTAATTGTACTTTATCTCCTGGTCTTCATGAAATGGTTTTCCTACACATATGCACATAATCTGTCACTGGGAAAAAACTTCACTTAACCTTACATGTATTATCTTTCATCTTTCTTATGCTTCCTGTGTGAATAAAGCCAAAAGAGTAGATTTCATTGTATTTCTACTTCACAACTCCCAAACTATTCTTTATTACAGGCAAACAGGCCTACTCTCAACTTCTTTACAACTCTAAATGTCTCTGTATCTGCATAACATCTCCAGTTGAGCTATACAAATACCTGATATAATAAAACCAGAACTCATCTTCCTTCCCAACTGGAACTTTCTTTTGCCCACAATGTTTCCATACATATAATATGCATTAATAGTGAACAACGGTTAGAAGAGAAAACCACAACAAACAGCTTTAATATACTCAGATCAATTTATAAGCTTTTGGAGAAAATGAATGATATGTTTGCAATATATACAAAGTGTGGTAGGTTTATATTCAATTTTAGCTTTTATTTTACTAAAACTAACATTTCTTAATGACAAGTCATCATAGTTATCATTTACCACCTCTTGTTTCAAATCTCTTTTCTCTCCAGTATATTCTCTGCACTTATAATAGCTTCCTAACATGTAGACCCAATCAGGTAAATAATCCAAAGTGCATCCCTACTGCATCCAAAATAAAGTCCAAATCTCTTCATCTGGCATTTAACTATTGACAATTTGTTGTCAGCACTAAGTAACCTACACACCATGTTCCAGTCACACCTCCTCCCCCTTGAAGACCCAGATCCAGTGAGGGGCTGTGATAATGGTAAGCAGGGACCTTACACACCAAGATCACCAAGATGAAGAGTTCCTAGGAAGACAGGCAAGTAACCCAGTGTGGGTAGCATAGAAGATGTGATAAAACAAGACAGAAAGCAGTTTGGGTGAATTGTTAACTCAAACTAGTAAAATCAGAGCAAACTTCATTGAAAAGAATAAACAGGGAGGGTAAAGGGAGAGTGGGTAAGAAAGAGGGAACCGATAAACTATATGTGACCTCCTCCCTGGTGGACGGACAACAGAAAAGTGGGTGAAGGGAGACGTCGGACAGGGCAAGATGACAAAATACCAATTTATAAACTATCAAGGGCTC